TGAGAGGATTACATATATATTGTGTGCATAACATATGGGCATTAGTACGCCAAGCATTAGTTGGCGCCGGACTCCTCGTCAACTCTGGTCACTGCGACATAGTAGATCATTTGAAAGTCCATGAACCCATCGCACTCCTAACCACTAACTCCAAATAAAGAAAAGTTGGGTGCTACGGTGATCAACGGGTGGCAGCCGTGACATACATGTTGAAAAACACGGACACCGGCACTCCAATAACGATGCAAAAGGACGTCTATTTAATGACGTAATACAGCATATCACACAGTATGCAACAAACGTTTCGGGGTCACACAGGATCCCCTAACTGAGGCAAAAGACATGTGATGGAAACACAAACAGATTGGTTCTGTGATTGACTTGTTTGTCACGGTTCTGTGCTATATATATATGTGTTTCTGTTTGTGTTTCCATCACATGTCTTTTGCCTGAGGAAGGGGATCCTGTGTGACCCCGAAACGTTCGTTGCATCTTGTGTGATATGCTGTATTACGTCATTAAAGGAGAACTATGAGGTGAGTGCTTTTCACTCACCTCATAGTTCTAGCCGACCTGTGACAATGAGACTGTCACAGGTCGGCTCAGTAGATCTGGAGGTGAGCGAACACATACCGGCGTTCGCTCACCTCTCGATCCTGTCACGGCTCTCTGCCGTGACAGGGGAGGGGCTGGATTCCCCGCTCCCCGCTCCGATCTGCCAGCGCTGACTGGCGGAACGGACGGGGGAGGGGGCGGGTACAGCTGGCTCTGCCTCTGTATAGGCAGAGCCAGCTGTCACTCACGCCGCAGGGTGGATCCAGACATAATTGTCGGGATCCGCTCCGGCTGCGGCGTCTCAGTATACACCGAGCTGTAGCTCGAGATATACTTAGCTTAGGGTAACGGGAGGACGCTAGTTTGTGTCCTCCCGTTACCTTAAGGAGAACTATGGGGAAAAACACTGACCCCATAGTTCTCCTTTAAATAGACGTCCTTTTGCATCGTTATTGGAGTGCCGGTGTCCCTGTTTTTCTACATAGTAGATCATTTGTCACAATTTGCAACTTTTCTGACAATTTCGCACAATAGTTTATCAGGCCCATTAATGGCCGGGCCGCACCTGGCTACTGATTTCGGTTGCATCGCTGTCACGTTCACATTCAGAGCACCGGTGGCACGTTCAGAGCACCGGTGGCCTGTTCTAAAGCGGACTGTGTATGCCGCAATCGGATTGTGCGATCACCTTTAGAACTACAAACAGCCCTCGTCTGATTGGGTGTGAACGATATTTATTATTGATGTAGGCCTTCATATTACCTAGATGTGATCAGACTGGATATTCAGACTGTACCGCGTATGGCCAGCTGAACGCACCTGCTGGGTGCCCTTCCCATGAATCCATGATAAACAATTTGCAATGTGCATTCGTTGTGTCCCTAGAAATGATCATAAAGGGTTTATAATTAGGGAATAACCATCCTTTAGCTACGCTATAGCAAAGCGTCCCTGCAAAATGACTTTAAAACGTTTAAACTGTGCCGAACTGCGGCTCCTCCGTCTCTCCAGGGGATGCGCGTCTCCTGCATGGATTGGGTTAGGTATGTTGGGGTCACTGAGCTGTGTGATGCCCCCTCCTCTCCACGTTCAGGTAGGGGTGCAGTGCTGAAGGGGCTGAGCACATCCAGCGTGAGGCGCGGGCCTGAGGATTGGATGTGAAAGCAATTAAAAGGGCCGTGTTGTGCTGGCTGCAGGCTGGCTCCAGGCGCTGGGGAGAACTGCCAGGACCGATAAGGTGCTTCATTTCTCTGTCCTAAACACTCCCCTCTGAGGCCAAACTGCAGCTCACGCAGTCCTGGAGCTTCTGCGGGCCTGGGCCAGCCTGGGTGTCTGAAACGCTCGCTCGCTCGCTCCTCTTCATGGCTGCTCGCCTTTAATTTTAACCATTTTGCTGCTAGGCACTCATGTGTAAAGCAAGGTGCTGCGGGAGCCCCTAACAGGAAAAGGACGGTTTTAGAAACCATTTTCATTCTCTCAGACTGCGTGCATTTGATGTGCTCGGGCCAATAGATGTGCGTTGACTGGCCCCGATCATTCAGGTTCCATGACAGTAGGAAATGACAGGAAGGTTTAGCACAGGGCACGGTGACCCAGAAAAATTAAAGGTGCGCGCTTCCTAAGAACATTTACATACAAAAGAGAGAAAAAATCTGTCACACGGAATGACGGAACATTGGGAAATGGCGGAGACCAGAATGGGAAGTAGGAAGTCTGACTCTTATCTTTGTAATGGCATTTCCTGTATTTTATACACAACGCCCCAACAAATACTCGAGTGCTTTACAGAGTACACCCAGACATTAACATCAATCCCTGGTACAGCGGAGCTTACAATCTAATGTCACAACATCGATCCCTGGTACAGTGAGCTTACAATCTAATGTCACAACATCGATCCCTGGTACAGTGAGCTTACAATCTAATGCCATAACATCAATCCCTGGTACAGTGAGCTTACAATCTAATGTTACAACATCTATCCCTGGTACAGTGAGCTTACAATCTAATGCCATAACATCAATCCCTGGGACAGAGAGTTTACAAACTAATGCCATAACATCATTTCTTGGAACAGTGAGCTTACAATCTAATTCAATAACATTGATCCTTAGTCCAGTGGAGCTTACAATCTAATGCCATGATATCAGTCTCTGGTCCAGTGAAACTTACCATCTAATGCCATAACATCAATCCCTGGTACAGTGAGCTCACAATCTAATACCATAACATTGATCCCTGGTACAGTGGAGCTTACAATCTAATGCCAAAACATCAATCCCTGGTACAGTGAGCTCACAATCTAATACCATAACATTGATCCTTGGTACACTGTAGCTTACAATCTAATGCCATGATGCCAATTCTTGGCACAGTGAGCTTACAATCTAATGCCATAACATTAGTCCTTGGCACAGTAAAGCGTACCATCTAATGCCATGATATCAATCCCTGGTACAGTGGAGCTTACAATCTAATTTTATAATGTTGATCCCTAGTCCAGTGGAAGCTGATTAAAGGAAAATTCCACCTTTTTTTACAAATGCGCACTTCATCATGAAAGACAATATCTGAATTTGGTGTTTTCTTGCATTGGAGTCAGTAAAGCATTGCAACGGTGATCAGTGGATCGTGGGTGCAATGCTCTGGCCCCTGCAGACTCTTCCTCCCCCGTAGATGTCTGTACCAAGGTACGGACATTCAGTAACAGGGACGGGAGGAAGAATGAATGGGCTATAAGTGCGGTAATGTCATTGCACTTGTATTCCATTGTGAAAGTCCCTCTGATCTAGCTGTGTTCCATGGCAATTATTTGATACCCCACACCTGTAAATGTTCATAGGCTATACTTCGATTTTATACACATGTCGGCCATTTTGGATCAGCAGAGACTTGGAGGAATTTACCACCAATTGTAATATTTGCAAAAGACGTTTCACATGGATGCTGCTATCCTCCCAGACTAGTTGTGGGGTAATAAAGCTGCTTCACTGCAATTGACGCTTTCCTTCCTTTGAGCTGCCATTTAAGACGAATGCGCCTCTTGGTCACATGATTAATCGGGTTAGCCTGCCCTCTGTCTGACATACTCCAAACAGTTCAAAAGCTTTCATAAAAGGTGTTACCTTCATATTCCAGTTCCAATGTCTACTTTTGCCCTGGCTAATCAGAAGCCACCGACAAGGCCGAGGTTCTACTCACAGTCTCATGGCAGCTTAAAGAAGAACTCCAGGCATGTACAACCATAACCCTTGCAGTGGGGTTACCCATACACTGAAAGGGTTAAGTGCTCATTTTGGTCTAGGGCAGGGGTGGGCAACTCCGGCCCTTCAGTTGTGCTTTAACTACAAATCCCATCATCCTTCTGCTTCCGGGTGTCATGCCTGTGGCTGTCAGAGTCTTGCAATGCCTCATGGGATCTGTAGTTACACAACAGCTGGAGGGCCGGAGTTGCCTACCCCTGAGCTAGGGACTGTACTATGTAGCACCAAACAGGAGGGGGAACAGGGAAACACACCAAGTACACAGCTGGAGGGCCGGAGTTGCCCACCTCTGGTCTAGGGTCTCAAATAAAAAAGGCATACTCACCTGATCCTCAATCCCGCGGTGTTGACCAGTCTCCTCTCTCACCCTCCACTCCAGCTATGGAATGTCCCTCAGCATCTTCAGGTCCAATACAAGTGAATGGACGTGATGACATCACAGGCCCTTAGACCACTGGAGCCTGGGGGAGAAGAGGCTCCAGGCGGGACGGAGGATCAGGTGAGTACCGTATATCTTTTTTACTTTAGACCCTAGACCAAAACGAGCACTTAACCCTTAATGGGGGTAGCCCTACTGCAAGGGTTAATTTTGTACATGCCCGGAGTACTTCTTTAAAGTGATCCGGGTCACTTCTACCCATAATGCTCCATGTTATAGATGGGGCAAGCTACATACCTTTCCTGCGGCCCATGTGTTGAAGAGCCGCTGCTTCACTGCTCCTCAGCTGCTGTAGGTATTCCACCTTTCCGGGTTTGTAGAATACCTGCCACCTCCTCTGCATGCTGTGGTTTCTTCCAGCCGCTCATACGTACCAGAGGACATAGGAGCCAGCGGGAGAAACCACAGTGCGCACCAGGGGTGGCAGGTATTTGAACAACCCAAAATTGGCTTTTCAACACAAGGGCCACCAAAAAGGTAGGCATATTGCCTCTTCTTTGACAAGCTGTATGTGGAAGTGACCTTGTGGTGACAGGGTCACTTTAATGACCCTTTTAACCCTCCAAGGCCATTGCCACGGGCCCTGTAGCGGTTGCCGTTTCTTTATCACACATTTACTACCTTTATCAGACTAGAATTTATTACCTCCTTCTCCAGCCTATAAAGCAGGGGTAGCCAAACTCCGGCCCTCCAGCTGTGGTGGAACTACAAATCTCATGAGGCATTGCAAGGTTCTCCCAGCCACAGACATGACTCCCGGAGAGAGATGTATCATGGGATTTGTAGTTTCACCACACCTGGAGGGCCGGAGTTTGGCTACCCCTGCTATAAAGGGTAAAACTTAAAGTAGTATTAGGGTCTGGGCGTTTTTTACCTTAATGCATTCTCAGCATTAGGGTGAAAATGGCACAGCACTTTTTTTCTCCCCCAGTCCCGGCCGCTCGGTCCCGAAGCGATCCTCCGTTTGCAGAGGGAGAATATTGATGGCAGAGGAGCCATAGGCTCCTTCTGCCATCAATCAAAGAAGGAAGGGGCGTGGCCTGCCACAAGGCTGTGTGTGTCTATGGACGCACAGAGCCTCTGCGGGCACGAGCGTGCATGGGTGCCTCCTAGGGTTACCACCTTTTCTTCCAGCGAAAACCCGAACACTCTAGCGACGCACGGACATTTTTTGGGGGGGAGAATGAGTCGCGGCTTATTCATATGTAAATAGCGCCTCCCATTCATAAGTAAATATCACAGTCGAGACTATTTTCAGTGGGGGGCCAGTAGCCCCTATCTTAATTTTGGTTGCCCATGTCTGCCTGACAACATGTGTCCGGGTCTCAGCTGCCATGAAACCTGGACACAGCATTAAAAACCCGAACTGTCCAGGTGAATCCTGGACAGGTGGCAACCCTAGTGCCTCCATTAGACCTATGGTGGCACCCATACAGGGGGTCGGGGGCAGGGCGAAGAGCGCTGCGGGGACCCACTAAAAAACGAGGAATTAAAAAGTTTTAAAGAAAGGCAGCAACAGCCTCCAGCAGAGGAGGGTCCACTTAAAGGAGAAATGTAAAAAAAAATTAGGCTTTAATATCATTTTAATTACCAAGCAGAACATTTTTTGAATCACGGAGGGGCTCGAACCAAATCCCAACCCCACGGACGTTGTCCTAAGCTCCGTCTCGGCCCGCCGCCCCCTTCACCGGCAGGTAGGGGGTTAAGCAGAAGTTCAGGCGCACTGACTGTTAAACTCTTTCTCCAGGCGCACTCGGTGGCTCTTCACTTGTGAAATGTCCCTGTCACTTGGCGTTAGGCTCCACATTACCAGAGCAGGCAGCGCTGTGCGCTCGTTAACGCCACCCCTGCTCTTGTCAGCGCTTGTAAACGAGAGGTCAGGGGCATCGGCCTCAACAACATGAAGCCCCAAGGGAAAGGCAGAGGTGTCAGCGAGGATGCAGGAGAGGTGTGTGTGTGTGTGCGGAGATGAATGCTGGGTCTGAGAAGGTTTTGTGCCTGGAAAACAGATCATGAATGTATACGGAATGTATTATTTAAGAAAGCGGCTCCTTTTTTCCTGAGCTATGTCTGATGGTTCCTCCTTGTATACAACATCACCAACACTGCCGATGTCAACCCATTCATAAAAAACTCATATAGCACCTGAATCTCATTTCCAATCATATTCAATCTGCATCTTTCCTGCCAGGGAGATCCTTGTTTAGGCACTTCCTGTTATGGGGTGACAACGTGTTGATCCTATTGCCTAATTGCGCGTTGCGTTGTCACCCTGTTACATGCAGATAAAGACTGTAAGCAGTTGTGCTGATGCTCAGTGGGCAGGCCACCGTTCAGGAAGCCAGCCCTGAGAAATGGCATGCAGCCGCCACTGGGATAAGTGCACATAGATGGGAAGTGGGTGCGTGCATATAGACGGGAAGTGGGTGCAAGGAGGTTGCGGGAGATCAGCTTCACGGAGATGCAAAAAAAATAAAAGTAAGTAGTTTCCAAAATTTGTATGCCCTTCCTTCATTTCCTTTTTATTGTAGGTTGTACCTGGCTTGAACAATCCAATACAAATAAAATACTTGTTTTGTAGGTTTATCATTACTATTATTATTATTTTTTATAGAGCACCTGAAAATGTTTCATTTTACTTAGATAACCAAAAAAAGGTGTTTAAAGCTGAACTCAAGGTGTTATTTTTCAAATGTCGATATACTGTATGTAATGCCATAGCTCCTCAGACCAAGTCTGTGCACGCAGTATGGATACTTGCTGACTTGCCAGAATCCACAGTCAGCGTAACTCTTCAATAAGATACAGCAGTTGACTACAATGTAATATAATACGGATAGGTGAAGAACAGGGGATGATTATCCAGTCTTTTCAAGTGTAAGAAGACAATGGACTCAATTCACAAAGCTTCAACAACTAGGGATGCACTGATACCGATACTAGTGCCCATACAGAGTATTTGGGCAAGTACGAGTATTCAGCCAAATGCTCAGATACTTACCTCCAATACCGGAAACCTCCAGTCAGAGGGAGATCTTTCTTGATGCACAAGAAAGCCCGCAAACAGTTTGCTAAAGACAAGCAGACTAAGGGCATGGATTACTGGAACCATGTCCTGTGGTCTGATGAGACCAAGATAAACTTATTTGGTTTAGATGGTGTCAAGCGTGTGTGGCGGCAACCAGGTGAGGAGTACAAAGACAAGTGTGTCTTGCCTATAGTCAAGCATGGTGGTGGGAGTGTCATGCTCTGGGGTTGCATGAGTGCTGCTGGTACTGGGGAGCTACAATTCATTGAGGGAACCATGAATGCCAACATGTACTGTGACATACTGAAGCAGAGCATGATCCCCTCCGTTTGGAGACTGGGCTGCAGGGCAGTATTCCAACATGATAACGACCCCAAACACACCTACAAGACGACCACTGTTGCTCACTATCTCTCCTCGCTCTCTCCTGGCTGTCTCTCCTCACTCATCCTCCTGGCTGTCTCTCCTTGCTCATCTTCATGGGTCTCTCTCCTTGCTCATCTTCATGGGTCTCTCTCCTGGCTGTCTCTCCTCACTCTCTCCTCTGGCTGTCTCTCCTCGCTCTCTGTCCTGGCTGTCTCTCCTCACTCTCTCCTCTGGCTGTCTCTCCTCACTCTCTCCTCCGGCTCTCTCTCCTCGCTCTCTTTCCTGGCTGTCTCTCCTCACTCTCTCTCCTGGCTCTCTCCTCACTCTCTCCTCTGGCTGTCTCTACTTGCTCATCCTCCTGGGTCTGTCCCCTGGCTGTCTCTCCTCACTCTTTCTCCTGGCTGTCTCTCCTGGCTCTCTCTCCTGGCTGTCTCTCCTCATTCTCTCCTATGGCTGTCTCTCCTCGCTCATCCACCTCAGTCTCTCTTCTGGCTGTCTCTCCTCACTCTCTCCTCTGGCTGTCTCTCCTTGCTCATCCTCCTGGGTCTCTCTCCTGGCTGTCTCTCCTCACTCTCTCCTCTGGCTGCCTCTCCTTGCTCATCCTCCTGGGTCTCTCTCCTGGCTGTCTCTCCCCATTCTCTCCTCTGGCTGTGTCTCCTTGCTCATCCTCCTGGGTCTCTCTCCTGGCTGTCTCTCCCCATTCTCTCCTCTGGCTGTGTCTCCTTGCTCATCCTCCTGGGTCTCTCTCCTGGCTGTCTCTCCTCACTCTCTCCCCTGGCTGTCTCTCCTCGCTCCTCCACCTCATCCTCTCCTCTGGCTGTCTCTCCTTGCTCATCCTCCTGGGTCTCTCTCCTGGCTGTCTCTCCTCACTCTCTCCCCTGGCTGTCTCTCCTCGCTCCTCCACCTCATCCTCTCCTCTGGCTGTCTCTCCTTGCTCATCCTCCTGGGTCTCTCTCCTGGCTGTCTCTCCTCACTCTCTCCCCTGGCTGTCTCTCCTCGCTCTCTCTCCTGGCTGTCTCTCCTCACTCTCTCCTATGGCTGTCTCTCCTCGCTCATCCACCTCACTCTCTCCTCTGGCTGTCTCTCCTCACTCTCTCCTCTGCCTGTCTCTCCTCACTCTCTCCTCTGCCTGTCTCTCCTCACTCTCTCCTCTGGCTGTCTCTCCTCACTCTCTCCTCTGGCTGTCTCTCCTCGCTCTCTCCCCTGGCTGTCTCTCATTCTCTCCTCTGGCTGTCTCTCCTCGCTCTCTCCCCTGGCTGTCTCATCTCGCTCTCTCCCCTGGCTGTCTCTCATTCTCTCCTCTGGCTGTCTCTTATTGCGCTTTCTCCTAAATGTCTCTCCTCGCTCTCTCCTGTATATTCTCCCAAAAAATAATTCAGCGCAGCACTACCGCTTTTGGCTTTTGCTTGAAGAAAAGATGGCAACCCTATCAAGGACAAGTGTGGCAAATTCCCCTCGCACTCGGAATTTCGACAATTAGGAAACATCTCCATTTGACTGGAATAGACTTTCAGAGCACATACATGTTAACATGCCACATCCCTGTTCCAGCTACACACATGTCAGCCTCAGTGTTACCCGGACAGGTTAATAATCCCCTTAGATATATGTGATGGAGTTGGACTGGGTGACAGAGAGGTTGCCTTAGCTCCATCCAGCGCTACCAGCCAGCCAAGAAATGAGCAGCGACAGCCTGATAATGGCGGGCCACTCCGAGCATCCGCAGGCCCCCCCAGACCTCGGGTAGAACATATGGCAGCGTTCATCCGCCCCCCAGCCCAATAATTACTGCTAACCACCAAACTGGTGAGGGGTGCGCCAAGCTCAGACACACTGCTCTAAAGGGCGCTCAGAGCAACGGCACGGGAGGAGGGAGGCACACGGAGTTAACCTATAGTGACACAAATGTATGTATGTATTAACTTCATGTATCTGCTGCACCGCAATCCATGGAGAGCTAACACAAACGTGTGAAGAGGATGAGGTGCACCGTCCAACAAAAGCCGCCATGCTTCAATGGTGAGATCATTACCAGGGACACCGAGCTGCTGAATGACTTCTTCTGAGGCCTTGTACAGACAGAATCTGGAGCAGTTGCCCATGACAACCAATCAGCTTTGCTGTTTAGTTTGTTCATTAAGGATTTGGAAATGAAAGGGAGAAGCTGGTTGGTTGCCATGGGAAACTGCTCCAGATTATGTCTGCACAAGGCCTAGTACAAGGCCTCAGAAGAAGCCCTTCAGCAGCTCCGTGTTTTGCGCCAGTTTTGATAAATTTCCCCCAAATTAGTTTTTCTGCATTTAAAGTAGATGTTAGCCCAGCTTCTAAAATCTCATATAATTATTAACACATTAGTGTGCTCTCTTGCGTTGTCACTTTACCACAGTGGTAGGCAATCCCATCATGCATCTGCCTCTGGGAGTCATGGGTGTGGCTGTCAGAGTTTTGCAATGCATCATGGGAATTGTAGTTTCACCACAGCCGGAGTGCGAAGTAGCCTACATCTGGCTTCATTCAGCCATTGCTGACCTAGTTACTAAACTAGTTGCCTGACCAGGGACTTGCAGTGCCTCATGGGACTTGTAGTTCCACAACAGCTGGAGTGCCGAGGTTGCCTACCCCTGCCCTGATTTTATAGTGGGGATGGCAAGCTGCTGTGCTCACTGCGCAAGTATGTTCCATGGCTGCAAAGAGGCTGCAAGGAGAGCTGCAGTACTGAGATGCAACAAAGGATGAAAAGAAGGTGAAATTGTATTTTCTAAAAGAAAAATGTCAGTTGTTTCCAGGACCGGCTTTAACCCCTTCATGACTGAGCTGGTTTTCAGGTTCTGTAATGACTGACACACTTTTTACATTTTTGCTGTGTGATTCTTCCACAGCAGTAATATACTTACTAAATGTACCCACACATATTATATATAGTTTTTTAGAGGACAGATAGGGCTATATAATTATATCACATATGTGTACCTAACCCCTCACTTAGTTTGAATAAAATAAAAAAATGAGGAAAAAAACTAGAAGAAAACACTTTTTTCACAAGTTTTGATTTTTATTATTTTTTTTAAATTTTTTTATATTTATTTTCCTAATTTTGTTTTACACTTTATTTTTATTTTTTTACACTTTGAAAAAACCCCCCAAAAAAACCCTTTTTTTTTTCTTGTCAGTTTATATCAAGCAGTCACTATGACTGCTTGATAAATTAACTCTTTTTTTCAATTTTTGGCTATTAGGCTGATCCAAACTTAGGAACAGCTAATAATAAGAGACTGATCCTGACTTTAGTCAGATTCAGATCTCACTAGGTCTTTGATCGCCTAGACGATCAGAACTGATACATTTCACTCAAAAGATATACATTGTATCTTTTGAGTAAAATGTATCTAAACATCGGGCTCTCCAGCTGTCAAAACAAATAGCAGAGAGGTGAGGTGAGTCACTGTTACCTCTCTGCTATTTTCAGCTGTCAAATACAGGATGGCAAATTGCGGTCCTGTATTTGCATGTAACGGCTTAATTCTTTCATTAATGAAAGGAAGAAGCTTTTACAAAAAGCTTAATTATTTCATTAATGAATGTCTCAATACTGAGGCATTCATTAATGACTGGTAACTGCTGAGAATCAGCTGTTACCAGCTTTACAAAGCCTGATATAACTTGTCACGTACTGTGTACGTGGCCAGTCATATAGGCACAAAGTGCCGGGACGTACACTGTACGTCTCCCGTCACAAAGGGGTTAATATTGAGTGGACCCTGGGCAATTATTCTCTTGCCCCCTTCCCCTACCCACCGGCATGGCAGGGGCGTCCCGAGGCTGGGTGACACCCGGAGCGGTAACCTCAGGTGGACTGTGGGGGCTCTCAGGTGGGCTGTGCGGGCTCCCAGGTGGGCTATGGGGGCTCTCAGGTGGGCTGTTCAGGCTCTCGGGTGGGCTGTGCGGGCTCCCAGGTGGACTGTGGGGGCTCTCAGATGGGCTGTGCGGGCTCCCTGCTGCGCGGGCTTTCAGGTGTGCTGTGGGGGCTCTCAGGTGCGCTGTGGGGGCTCTCAGGTGGGCTGTGCAGGCTCCCAGGTGGGCTGTGGAGGCTTTCAGGTGGCTTGTGGGGGCTCTCAGGTGGGCTGTGCGGCTCTCATGCCTCATTCACAGCAGACACAGTGCGTTCTGGGGGGCTGGACTTGCTCACCCCTATAGTGAGATTTCAATTGATTTTGACATTGGCTGGAATTCTATCAATCGTTTCTAGTCCATCGTATGAATGAGAATGACTCTGTGTGTGAGTGAGTGTGTGTGTGATTGTGTGTGAGTGTATATGTGTGTGTGTGTTTCTCGTAATGCAGATCGATTAAATGACAGATCGCGTCTGATAAATCATATTTTCAATCGGTGATGCATGTGTTGCTTCGTTCCACATTTTAATGGATGATGAATCACTCGCTTCAGATAGCTTGTATGTTAATCGATTAGACCAGTCACCCCCCACAAGATGAGAGAGCAGCAGTGACCGGTCTTTATTACAGGAGGGGCGGAGTCAAGACCAGTCACCCTGCAATAGGAGAGAGAACAGCAGTGAGCGGTCTTTATTACAGGAGGGGCGGAGACAGGACCAGTCACCCTGCACAAGGAGAGAGGACAGAAGTGAGCGGTCTTTATTACAGGAAGCTCCATGTCTCACACTGGATTACTTGACAGATCTGGAAGAAATACACAAAGTTCACCAAGATTGAAGGAAGAACACACATGACTCTTGTATGTAGACAATGTCTGCCTATCCCGGAGTTCAGCTTTAAGTGTGTAAGGAAGCCCTCCGTAGGTGGGCGCGCTCCCTTCTGAATGCGCGTGTCTGCCGCGAGTCCTCGCGCAGCCCTTCCCCGGCATCGTCTCCCTCAGCCGAGCTGATACGGAGTGACGGGGGATTGTCTGCGAGGAGAGAAATGGCTCAACCCGACAGCATCATTGGACGGAGCTCCCAACACTCGGAGCCCCCACCACCGCCTCCCGCTGTACCCGCGAGGGGGATCATTTCCATTGAACAGATGTTTGGTGTCAGAGCGAGTCACTGTAACATTACAAGACGTCCGCTGCACAATGCACTGAGATTCCCCAGCAGCCACCATACACCTCTCACACGGGAAGGGAGCAGAGTCAAAAGGGGTCAACGTTCTAATCTCACTTGTGTCAGAAGTAATGGGTGGGGGGGAGGGGGGGGAACAAGAAGCGCACCTAAAAACCTGTGGCAGCGCCGGAGTTTTATAGACAATCCTTGCAAGATTAAAGGCTGACCTTTCAGGCTGATCACCTTTCTGATGTCTCACCGTGAACATGAAACATAGTCAGATCATCAATCACCAACTTACCTGAAACACGGGATTCTTGTGTTCATTCTTACATCAGAGACGAGGGAGCATGAGTCATCCATTCATTACTTACCAGTGAAAACAAGCTGTGTTATCTGCATTCTGATTCTGCTCTGACCTGTATATTAACTAGGGATGCACCAATGCCGATACTAGTATTGGTGCCGACACCCAGTATTTGGGCGAGTACTCGTACTCCCCCAAATGCTCAGATTCTTAGGCCTCATTCACACTACTAACAGCCGGCCCTTACAGATCCGTGCTGTGTACACGGCCATATCAGGCCGCTACCGAGAAGGACAGGTGCTGTGTGTGATTGTACGCAGTGGCCTGTTCTTCTCTGCAGTGGCCTGTTCTGCCCACGCTATGCGTCACGCCGCATAGCGTGACGCATTTCCGCCCCCTCCTGTAATAAAGACCACTCACTGCTGTTCTCTCTCCTTGTGCAGGTGATTGGTCTTGTCTCTGCCCCCTCCTGTAATAAAGACCAGTCACTGCTGCTCTCTCTCCTTGTGCAGGGTGACTGGTCTTGTCTCCGCCCCCTCCTGTAGTTTTCTTCAGGCAGCCTGTAGTGATTGAATCTTGCTGTAACAAAGACCAGTCACTGCTGCTCTCTGTCCTTGTGCACAGTGACTGGTCTTGTCTCCGTCCCCTCCTGTAGTTTCCTGCAACCAGCCTGTAGTGGGAGGAGCTTCCTGTAATAAAGACTGGTAACTGCTGCTGTCTCTCCTTGTGTAGGGTGACTGGTCTTGTACCCACCCCCACCAGTACTTTTCTAAACTTTCTGTAATAAAGACCGCTCACTGCTGCTCTCTCTCCATGTGCAGGGCGGCCGGTCTTCTTTCCGCCCCCTCCTGTAGTTTCCTGCAGGCAACCTGTAATGATTGGAGCTTCCTGTAATAAAGACTGGTAGCTCTGTGCCTATGCAGGGTGACTGGTCTTGTATCTGCCCCCTACTGTAGTTTCCTGCAACCAGCCTGTAGTGGATGGAGCTTTCTGGGCCCCTCCTACAGCTCTACTCTCTGCACAGGCTATGTACAGCCCAGTGCAGATGCCACTGCAACTTATACAAGGTTATTATTGTGTTTACAAAGGCACACAAAGTAGATTTATGCGGTTATCGAAGAATATATTTGGATGAAAGTTTCTGTTTGGCTTTTAAGGTTCACTTTAAAATATAACCAAAAACGTAAAGCGAGCTC